AAAGCTTGTTTGAATATTTGATTATTTAGATAGACTTGTGAAGTGATAGAAATATGGGGCCTGTTCTCTTGTTTCCTTTGATAGCGGAATCCTTTGTAAACAAATGAGAGAAGTTTGATTGCCTCTGAGCTAGGTATAGGAATCTACAGAATATGATAATGTAATGACAATGAGGGGAATATACTGTTAATTTTTTATGACATTAGATTCATCGTCTCTTTGTACGTGTTTATTTTACATAAACAGAGCCATGTTCCTTTTCCAACTCTGCCTTCTAATCTATTTTCAGGGCGGTCTAGTCCGTGAGAAACTTTGGGATTTGTTAGTCAATGAACCCGATGCCATTATAGAAGAAGGCTTCCCTAATGCGACAGGTCGAGAGCAATCAATACGAGGAATGAGAAGCTCAGAATTCTGTTTGCATCCAGCAGGAGATACTCCTACCTCATGCCGCCTCTTTGATGCTGTTCTTAGTCTATGCATACCAGTCATCATCAGCGACAACATCGAGCTTCCATTTGAAGGAACAGTGGATTACACAGAATTCTCAGTCTTTGTATCAGTCAGTAATGCTCTTCAACCAAATTGGCTTGCTAACTATTTGAGGGCATTTTCTAAAGAAAAGAAGGACAGGTTACGAGAAAATATGGGTCGAGTTCAGGCTATTTTCGAGTATGATAGTGGTTATTCAGGTGGAATTGGGCCTGTACCTCCAAATGGTGCGGTGAATCATATATGGAGAAAGGTTCATGAGAAAGTTCCTATGATTAAAGAAGCTATAGTTAGGGAAAAGAGAAAGCCTGAGGGTGTTTCTGTTCCTCTCCGTTGCCACTGTACTTGATTTTGATCCTCATTTTGGGTTCATTGTAGTGATTTGTAAAACCATTGTGTTAAATTTGAGTTTATTCCTGCAGCCAGGAGTCTTGTTCGCTGTAAAGATTGAAGCTTTGTAGAGGTGTGGAGTTGGAAGGAGTGATGTGGTGTCCGAAGTCATTCTGTCTGCGCTGGCTGAGTTTGTGATTTCATGTTGTGTTTACCATAGGTCAAATGTCATGCTTCTCTCCGACGTGAGATGCTGTGGATACAAAAGAGTGCTCGGAGGAGGTTTAAGTTTCTGATGCAATGTCAAACTGGGCCTATCTAGTGATGTCACATTAGGCCTATCTAGGGGCTGATTCAATCTGTTTGGACTTTAAAGAGTTCCTAATTGTTTAGGTTGCCAGTTGTAATAATCTTAATGATTAGTCACCAGTAGTTGACAAATATTAAAATACGTAAACGAATTGAATTCAAATAGTTTTTAATATTCAAATTGGATTTGAATATGAATTTGAGTATCCTAGCATCAACAGAACTCTAATGTGAATATTGCAGTATATGGTTCGATTCAATTCCACCCCCACTGCTAAGGTTAGATTTGCTCAGTTAAGAATATGTACTTCATTGAAGGTCATTGTGGCTAGGATATTCTTGATTTATTTTCTTGAATTTGGAGATCATT